TAAATCGTGTTTTTGTTTATCATTTCCATACCAAGAAGATCCAATAAAATGTAGAATTTGGTGTGATTGAATTAATTAATTGAATAGATTAATTTAACGCGTAGAAATTATTTAAATTTTTATGAGATTGCGGTTTGTGTTATGCAACCCACTATGCACCAAATAGTTTCCGATGCGTTTTTCTTACTTGAATCGATATTTTTGCAACGTATTTTCTCTTTAATGCAATTTAACAAGCACAATTGCCATTTCTAGGGCTTCACAACCCTTTTTTAGTCTTCCTTCAACATGTGTTTTTGCAACTTATGTTCTTGTTTATTTTCCATTTTCCCCTCAGGAAAACCTCGTCGAACGCAAACACCACAAATTGGCGCGTTCTTTACGCAGTGGCCACTGCGATAAAGACGCCAAACCCAATGCCGCAATCCGCGACATCCTCAACACTATAGTCTCCTACCCTTCCATCAAACCCCTGACGAATGAAGAGCAAGATCACGTGTGGAAATTTCGATTTTATCTCAGCACTCAGAAAAAGGCCCTCACGAAGTTTTTGAAATGTGTGAATTGGACACAACAGAACGAGGTCCGTCAGGCTTTGTCCATGATGCGGATTTGGGCCCCCATGGACGTGGAGGATGCTCTCGAGTTGTTATCACCGAATTTCACGCATCCGGCTGTGAGGAAGTACGCGATTTCCAGACTGCGGCAAGCACCCGATGAGGAGATTTTGCTGTATTTGCTGCAGTTGGTGCAAGCGTTGAAGTATGAGGATTTTAAGGATATACAAGAGGGGTATTCGAGGATTTCGCCGGGGAGGGAGACTATCGTGGTGCATGAGGAGAAGGAAGCACAATTGGAGAAAAAAGACAGCAAGGAGAGTAACAGTACGATAACAAACGAGTCGGTTATGCATCGATCATCGAGTTATAACCAAGCCGATCAAATCGCTTCTTCTAACGTCAATAGTGTTATAGAGGTCGACGCTGATCAAAGAGCTGCAAGTTTACCGGAGAATATTTTACACAATCTCAACGTCTACACCGATTCGGCCAACACAGACACGCTACAAGACCACATGGTTGAAGAAGAAGAAATCCAAGATTTGGCCACTTTTTTAATACAAAGAGCGTGCAAAAATGCCAAATTGGCCAATTATTTCTATTGGTATTTGTTAATAGAGTGCGAGGATCCAGAACCGACCATGAAACAAAACGTAATCGAATCATGAGGCGTTATTTGTAACTCATGTATTTTTTCTAGATGGTGATAAGAGAGTTGTATTTGACGGTAATGAAAACGTTTTCGCAAACTTTGGCCAAAGGTAACGTCGAAATGCAAAAGAAACGTTTAAATTTGTCGTTGCAACAAAAATTCATCGATAACTTAATCAAATTGATAAAAACGGTGTCACGTGAAGGCGGTAACAGGAAGAAGAAGGCCGAAAAATTGCAGCAGTTATTGGCCGACCCGACAATGTTTAAGTTTAATTTCGGTAATTTCGAACCGATTCCGTTTCCGCTTGATCCCGATGTGATAATAAAAGGCATAATTGCGGAAAAAGCGAGTTTGTTCAAGTCGGCTTTGATGCCGTCGAAACTGCATTTTATCACGAGTGATAATAGTGAATATGTCGCCATTTTCAAACATGGCGATGATTTGAGACAGGACCAATTGATTCTCCAAATGATAACTTTGATGGATAAGTTGTTGCGGAAAGAGAATCTTGATTTGAAATTAACACCATATAAAGTACTTGCGACTAGTACTAAACACGGTTTTGTCCAATTTATCGATTCTGTGAGTGTTGCCGAGGCCGTAAATGCGGAAGGTAATGAATAAAGTGTTTTGGTCAGCGATTGGTTAACGTATTTCTAGGGACTCTCCATAACTACTTTCGGAAGTACCACCCGCAAGAGAACGGCCCTTACGGCATCGCCCCCGAAATCATGGACAACTACGTCCGGTCCTGTGCCGGTTATTGCGTTATTACTTATTTGTTGGGAGTAGGCGATCGTCATTTGGACAATTTATTAGTGACAACTTGTGGTAAATTGTTTCACATCGACTTTGGGTTTATTCTAGGGCGGGACCCTAAGCCGTTGCCTCCGCCAATGAAACTGAGTAAAGAAATGGTGGAAGCGATGGGCGGAGCCAATTCCGAGCATTACCAAGAGTTTAGGAAGCAATGCTATACTGCGTTTTTGCATCTAAGAAGGTTGGTTAATACATAAATGAATGAAAGTTTGTGATGGTAATCTTGTTGCAGGCATGCCAACCTAATGTTGAATCTTTTTTCATTGATGATTGATACCAGTGTGCCTGATATAGCCCTAGAGCCGGATAAGGCGGTCAAAAAGGTGCAAGAGAAGTTTAGGCTGGATTTAGGGGAGGAGGAGGCGGTGCATTATATTCAAAATTTGATTGATGCGTCGGCTACGGCAGTTATGCCGGCTATTGTAGAACAGTTTCATAAAATCACTCAGTATATAAGGAAATAAAACGTGTATAAATTAGCTTATTTGTTTCATAAAGTTTATATCAGATTTTTGTTTTTTTTTTCTCTATCAAAAAATATTTATTTGCTCAATATGAGGTTTAAGTGAGCACTGTTTCGAATTAATGTTTGTTTGAAAACAATGATTCATGGTTACAGTTATGATTCTCAATTATTTTAGTGTTGTTTTTGTAGTAATGCAACAGTGTTTAATAAAAATCATGACTGCAATAATTGTTATTTATTAATAACAAAAAAAATTGAAACACGTCTGAATTTAACATCTTTGAAGTCATTTCGTGTAAACAAATCGTAAAAAATATTTTTTAAAATGTTTTCTAAAAATAAGCTTTTATTTAAAAATAAATAATGAACTAAAAAGTGAACTGATTTATTGGTAATTGTTGATTACAAATCACAACTGTCTCAAATTTGATTCGTAATATTTCGTGCAAACAAACAATAAAGCAAGTTCACTAAAAGCTTATGAAAAGTGGATGACGGAAATGGATCACTCGCTAAAGGCCTGATTATCAATTATTGGATAATATTATTTAAAATGACTTGACAAAACTTTAGATACGACTTATTAAAATTGAATTACATAATTGTACAGAGTGTAAAATATGGCGAATAAGCTCTTTACTACAAAAAACTTTCCAGCAAAATGATTAAGAATTGCCTTCTAAACTATTCTTTATAGTTAAGCGAGATTGAAAACATTTTGTATTCAAAAAAAAATTAATCGGTGATATTGGTATCCATGAAGACAAGTTTTTATAAACTTTCTCAACACCGAAACTAATAATAATCGTTTAAAATCGTCAAAATTAAATTTACGCTTGGGTCCATACTTTTTATTCATCCTGTATGTTTTTTTTATAAAACAAAATTCAGTCACCCCTCTGGGTCTTGGGGTGTAATACATACAAAAAACATAAGATTTACATGTGATAAGTGCAAAAGAAAGAATTTCACTTGGTTACAGACAAAACCTGTGTAAAAAGCTTGTTTCTACATTCATCGAGAGAATAAAAATACTCGGTTCTCAAAATGTATAACTTTTTTTGTTTTAATAACGTAGATATGAACTAAGACTTAAGAAAATAATGTGATCCAAAACTGTTTTCGAATATTTTTGGTTTTTATCTATTTTTGTAAAAAATAACGGAAATGGGTCACAGAAATTATAATGTATTATCAGGTTACTATATCCAATTATAGATATAATGGAAATATATCGCCTTATGTAATTTAATAAATATTTTTTTATCGTGACAAAGTAAATAAAACCGATAGATAAAAATATAAACTTTATTATGAATACAAAAAATCGTAACAATGTATGGCAACACACAATCATATTTGACCTTAAAATGTATGATGAAAAAGCAAATTTGAATGGAAAAGCGTTACATAATAACCGTTATCATTTTTAAAGGTTATCAATTACGAATTTTTTCTTGCAATCGATGTAATAATACTTTTAACTTCAGTGTATTGATTCAACCCATAAATTCCCATTTCACGTCCATGTCCTGAGTCTTTGAACCCTCCAAACGGCGTTTGTGCTCCTAGAATATTATAAGTGTTGACCCAGACGGTCCCAGCCCTTATCCCTTGAACCAAATAATTGACTTTGTCCAAATCCCTTGAGAAAATAGCTGCCGCAAGGCCATAATTGGTGTTGTTGGCCCGTTCGATGATCTCATCCAAGTCTTTAAAACGCATCAACTGTTGAACTGGCCCAAAGATCTGAAATTCCAAATTTAATTTGGCTCAAAATCGGGGCTAAACCACTCACTTCCTCTTTGGCAATCACATGGTTGTCTTCAACGTTTGCGAAGACTGTTGGTTCGACGAAATATCCCTTATCCCCGACTCTCTTACCCCCAATTAACAATTTTGCTCCTTGATTCACCCCTTCTTTAATCAAACCTAAAATTTTCGTCATTTGAGTTTCATCAATTTGGGGCCCTTGCTCGGTTTTGGGGTCAAAGGGGTTTCCAACTGTGCGTTTTTTCGCCCGTTCGACTGACCTTTCAACAAATTCATCGTAAATTTTATCCTCGATGAATGTCCTTGAGCCGGCACAGCACACTTGGCCTTGATTGAAGAACAGTCCGAAATGGGCTTGTTCAACGGCCTTTTCAATATCAACATCGGCGAGGATAATATTGGGGCTTTTGCCCCCCAATTCCAGTGTTGTACGTTTCAAGTTACCAACCCCTGACATTTGCTGGATTTTTAGCCCCACTTCTGTTGATCCCGTAAATGCGATTTTATCAACTTTGGGGTTGGAGACAAGTGCAGCCCCCGTGTCGCCAAACCCGGGAACTAGATTGAAAACACCGGGGGGAAACCCGGCCTCTTTAATCAGCTGCGCCGTGTAGAGGGCTGTCAGGGGGGTTTGTTCGGCGGGTTTAAGCACCACTGTGTTCCCCATACTTAGGGCAGGGGCGATCTTCCACGCCATCATCAAAAGGGGGAAATTCCAGGGGATGATTTGCCCGCAAACTCCTACAGGTTCGTGGCGCGTGTAGCACATAAAAGGCCCATCGAGGGGGATGGTCCGGCCGTGGTTCTTATCAGCCCAACCGGCCATGTATCTTATCACTTTGATACTACCCATGATGTCCACGGGGTAGGCCACATGGTACGGTTTACCATTGTCTAAAGTTTCGAGACTCTGAAATTTGGGGATTAGTGAAGGTTGGAGGACTTAGGGGCGCTTACCGCTAAGTAGGCGGCGTCACGCTCCATCAAGTCGGCAAGCCGGTTGAGGAGGACTCCTCGATCGGAGGCGTCCATGGTACGCCAGGGGGAGTTGAAACGGAAGGCCTCATTGGCGGCGTCAACGGCCAAGTCGATGTCCTCTTTGCCCCCTTGTTGGACTTCGGTGATCACTTCCCCCGTTGTGGGGTTCACGGTGGGGAAGGTTTTGCCCGATTTAGATTTGTGCCATTCGTTATTGATAAAAATCTTCAATAAAAAAATTTGATAAAATATAAGTATTTCCGTTTATTGAGTTCAAGATTGTTGAGCAGCATGCACTCATGTGATAACGATGTTATTGTTGTCACCCAATAATTACGATAAAGGCAAGTGTATGCAAATAACTGTTTTAAACTGTCGTGTTCCAGAAAAAAATGTGTTGTTCCAAAATATTGAAAATTCGTGTCATTGTTAGTTTCTCCATCAATTTTTTAACACAATTCCAGTGATTATAAAGAGATTTGACCTTCACATTTTACTGAGACGGTTTTTTGGGGGCCCATTTTTGCATGCAATTGAAATTTGTACTCTACTCACCCCTGAATACATCACATTGGGGCTCTCTTGAGGCGCCGGAACCGCCGCAGCCGAAAAATTACATTTCTGGACCTTACCAAAAGCAGATCTTGCTAAACGGAGCATCTTGTAGAAATCGTTCAACGCCTCGATACAAAATGAACGTCTGCTACTCTAGTCACGCTTATTAACACTTGGCAGGTCAGATATTATCAACAAATACCCCCCGCACACAGTTTATCGCGGAATTTTATGATAAAAGCAAATTAAAAACTACAAATCATCAAGCGGTCACCGGTATTTAGTGAACACAAAAATAGGCTTGATAGCCTTGAAATAGCGTTTTTAGCGAATGATATTTTGTGTTTGTAGTTGGTTTATCAAATATAAATGCCGCATTAATTTAAATGGTCTAATTTATTCCAGTTAAAAAAAATCATGTGCGTAAAAAATTGACATTGAATTTTAACATTTTGACATTGACAGATATGACATTTTTATTTATACATTGTACTATTTTGGACACATTTTGGTAATAAAAAAAGTGAAGGTCTTTCTAATCTCGTTATTACTTGGCGACTAATTATGCTGACATAATTATTATGTAATTTTATAAATTGAATTGCAAATTTGGCGTTTTACTGGTTGCCGCCTATACTCGTCATTGAGTGACGTTTGTAATCATCACATAACCTAAAAGTGTCACCAAAAAATTTCATTTTATTCAATATTATTTTGGATAAGTGGTGTTTTCTCGATGCAGGCGTCAAGCTCGGCCCCTATTTTGCAATGGAGCCCCGATAAGAAGCACTCGGATCATGAAAGGTGCACCTAACCTTACTTTCACATATGTTACAATTTCGTTTTTTCCAGATGGATTTGCATCTATCCTGCTTACATTAACAGTAAGAAATCGATTGCTCAAGGCCGCCGTATCGCCAAAGAAAAATGCGTGGAGAATCCCACCCATCAAGAAATGCGAGACGTTCTTTCAGCTGCAGGTCTGCAAGTGGGGGTAGAAAACAAACTTTACAGCCGAGAACGCAGCAAGGAACTTCTTTACCGAGGTCGAATTCGTGTTCACTTGAAAAAGGATGACGGAACTCCGGTGAACAAAGATTTCCCGACTCGGGAAAGCGTCATGTTACATCTTTGTGAAATGATCCCCAAATTGAAGATAAGACAGAATAAATCCGGGGGCGATCAGGTCCAGAGCAATCCGAGTTCGGGTAAAGGCAAGGGAAAAGGAAAGGGGCGCCGATAAACATTTTTTTTTATATTTTTATTAAGTTACGCAAATATAAAAAATTGAGCAAAAAGTTGTTTCATTTTATTCATCCACTAAACTCGGGTCTTGCGTAATAATCTCGTGGCGTTTTTTGCCATGGAGAAGGTCCTTAAGGGCTATATCTACCTCGTTTTCGTGTTTCACGGTTGCATTTTCGGAAGCCCCAAGTCTGTGTTGCATCCGGCGCCTTTGTCGCGCCTCTTCCACCACATTTCGCATCCGGGATCGTTGCTGAGGTGTCTGAATTAAAACAGTGTGGGACAACTGTCGCAGGTTGTTTCTGATCGCTTCAATTTCCATTTCGCGGACTCGGGAATCGAAAACTTGACTCAGGCGATTGAGGTGGTCACGGATTTGTTGCAAAAGTATTCTTTGTTGGTCAGGGGAGATCGGTCGGGGGTCACGGGGACGTCTCGGGGTCACAAGGCGGTGGATCACGCGTCTTTGTGGCTGCTGCTGACCCACCGTTTCTTCAAAACTGAAATTAGGCTCGAAGTCGTCCGATTTCGAGGAGGTTTTTTGGTCGGTTTCAATGACTTCAGTTGTAGTTTCGGGACTTGTTGTTGTTGTAGATAATTCGGTTGTTTCAGTAGTCGAAACACTTGGAACTTCCCTTTTTATTATTATACCATCATGATTTAATATTTCGATAGTTTTTAGTGTTTTACCGATCGAATTTGCATTTTTATGAACAAGTTCAAGGTCTGTGCCTACAATAAACGAAGAAAAAAGTTATATTTATTTATATAATTTATTATTATACTCACCATCGACTGTTTTTGGTAATAAACAAGTACACAGCTTCGTTTCAACATCATATTCAAATTGGGCTTCTGAGCTCGTACAAATGTTTTCACAGTCGGTTTCAGTTACATTTCTGTTTAAAACATGAGAGCAACTTTGTTCTGGAATTTTTTATGTAGATAAAGTTATTTTGAATTTTGTAAGGATACGAACCAAGAAATTGGAGAATTGCAACACATAAAACAAGACTTTTTACGTACATTGTTAAATTTACGTTTACTATAAACGGTAAGGTCGTTTGGTTTAAATAGTACTGAAAAATTGCTGAAGTTGCAAAGAATTGTAGGAAGTGAAACAGTTTGGTGGTAACAAATTGCGCGTCCTACTTTTGTTATGTGTGTTTTGATTTAAATTGCAACATTCAAAGTATAACAATAATAATAATAAATTTTGGCATTTGTGAAATATATATCACACCGAAATAAATATTCAAAATATTGCGAGATTAAATCAATAATAAATTTAACACGAAATGGTGTTATTAAATATGTGTATTGTCTTAATGGGGATTTAAATTTTGCCACCCTTATAAAATACGTTTAGCTTATCAACCTTTGTCGTTTAAATCTGTTTCTTAAACAGTTTCAATTTAATGCAAATTGGGGTCTGTTTGGTAAACAAGTTTGTATCATATCTAACATGTGGATAAGACATGAATAATGCATTTAAGCGCTCCGTTAACTAGATGCAAACGCATATTAGACCACCATAATTTGTCTTGGGCATTAAATCAAAGAAGCATCTGGTTCGTGGTATATGGTTGAACGCCACAACCACAAAAGTCAACACTAAATTAAGATCAAATTGTTGCATTAACGAAGCTAGACGTTGCAACAATTGACAGCTTAGTCTGGACTAACATATCGATCGGTGGTTAATCCAGGGGGAGACTGTCCTCCACCGCCTCTACACCCATCCATCCATCACGGGATAATTTAACCTTCAAGCCACTTGGCTGTTTTCGGGGATATTTTAATTATAATCGAGCAGTGGGCGAGCGATCGACAAGTTGGGTTAAACTCAATAAATTTCTCATTTTTATAATAAGTATATATATATTTTTTTTAATATATATTTTTTAATTTTTGTGCGACTTAAAGTTGAGACGGTACTTATCGTCCAAACAAGCTGAAATTTTGTATACGCACGTAATTTTCGTAATAATAATATATTTATTTTAATTAATAATTTGCAATGCAAACAATTAACAATTATTTACAGTTATTAATATTTCGGCCCCTAGTTGTAATACGAAGATGAAACCAACTCCACACGATAGAGCAGAAAAAATCCATCTGGTTGTTTTGGTTTTTAAGGGTAAAACTAACTCCCAACACGATGCAGTGGTTGAGATATTGAATAATAAAGTTAAGAATAAGACGAGAAGCTTAAGCACTATATCTGATTCTGACCAAAATATCAAAAGAAATTCAACTTTAAAATAGATCCATGTAAAGTTATTTTACGTTTCTAGACTCAGTGATATATTTTGATTTAGACATATGTATATATATTTTACAATGTTTCGGGGAATCGATTGCAAAATTCGTAATGGTTTTAAAGTTATTGTCAAATTTAAATTTACAATATTTTTCATTTTATCAGAAATTTTCCCGATAACTATTTATTATAGAACACTGATCTTTTTTGTATATGATAGAAAATTAAATTTTCTATCCAACGGTACGAGATTATTACGAATAAGCCCGGAGTTATTGGCAATAAACCGTTCCGGGTGCCAAAAATCGACCAAAATCTCGACAAAAATCAAAAAAATTTTCAATTTTAAAATTGATCCATATAACGTTTTTTACATTTCTAGAGGTCTTAAAAACTCAAAAAAATTCATAAAACGTTGTCGTATCAAGTTTAAAAAAATTCTAATTTTTTGAGTTTTTGAAGGAGGGGTAAAATCGTAAAAATAGTCAATTTACTAAAAATCGTAAAAACCGTTGAAATATGGTTTTCTAGACGTAAAATTACGCGCTGAACACGATGCAACAGGTTAAAATACTCTACGATGCATAGCTTGTGAGATATTGAGTCCTATATTTTAAGCTTATTATTTTAAAAAATAGTTTTTGAGATATTGAGTCCTACATTAAAAAAATAGTATATTAAAAAACAAGTGTTACAAACACTCGTCAATTTTTTCACTCATATGACAGTGTAAGAGGTATTTAACAGTCTAAATTGATGAGATTTGACGTATGCGGTAGGTACCCAAATCGCTTGAAAATAGCTCAAATTGCATTAGTGTCAATGAAATACGTTGATCTACAACAGTTTCTCACTTAAAAACGGCAGTATATGGCCAGTGATGACTAAAGTATTGCATAAAATGTCGCCAAAAAACAGTGTCACAAAATTGAATTTTATGCAACTGTTTGCAGTTGCACAAAATGCTCATTGTGACACCAAAATAGAAAAACATTTTTTAAATATTCATTTTCTAATAATCTTGGAGTCAGAGAGGGTCGTTTGTGAGCTCGATATAAACCAGCAATCTTTTAGCAGTGCAGAATTAAGACAAAAGCGCCGTAACTGCGGACTTAAAAACAATACTTTTATTTGTAAGATATGCTTTAAACAGTTCCCTCAGGCGTGCTTATTTTGTCACATAAACAAACGCTCGACGTTGTATAAAGCATTTCGTGAAATTTTATTTGTTTTTCGGATCTACATATCCCGCGAGCTCATTACAAAAATAAAAAATATATCTCGTAATCTGACCTCATTTACATATCAGCACGTGTATGTGAAATTGCGCTGTCGTCAGTAAAATACTTCCTCACCGGAAAGAAAATGCAATTTATAAAATTGATACATGCGAATAAAGAAACTCCGCCAATGGAGCGATATTTCACGTTTAACGGATAGACGAAATGTTTTCAACAATAATGCGAACAGTACGTTGATTTCTGCATTTTCGAAAAGTTGCACGAGTTGTGTTTTTGGCAAACTGAATTTTGCAGCATTTAAAGTTTTTAGAATGATACTATTCATCCGCGTGACGTGTAATGGAAATGTGGCCGAGTTTATGAATTAAACATTAAATTCGAGTAGAATTTATTCTCCACGATGACGAAAAACAGGCATGTCTCAGTCAGAGTTTTGCACTCTTAAAAACTAAAAACATGAAGGGCTTAGACATGGGCGCCGACTTTTCATATTTTCAATGGGTGCATAAACAGACATAAAAATGGTATAACTTGCAGGATTTGAGAACAATTACGTGAAAGAACGATTTTTTCTCTCCTATGTTTGCCGAATTTAATGTATTTAATATATCGAAAGTTAAAAACAATAGTTATTTATTATAAAAGACGATAAAGAAATTGTTTATCAACGAATGAAAAGGTTAAGTTTACGAGTGGACTTTTTCACGAATAGATAAACAATCTCTATCGTCGTGTATAATATTTCGTTTTATTTTGTAGGCACCTACCAAAATATAAACAGTAGATAAAAATTACTTTACTTTACTATACGATAAAAGACTACTTTATCTACTAAAATTAATTGATAAAATCACTCTTTAATATTGAATACAAAATAAAACAATTTTTTGTATAGTACAAAAAAAAATCAATAAATAACATAGACAATAAAAAGTGTACAGAAAATAGTACATGTTCAAAGTTGCAAAATGCTTCAAATTGTTGAGTTTTGAAATAAGACAGTGTTGTTAAATTTAAAAGAAAATTCGGAAACAATAAAAAAATGACTATTGTCGTTATTAGGATGTTTTCCAAATAAGTAGGATAAGGAAAGTCTTGTGATGTTCACACCAGATTTTTTTATTTTGATAAGGATTACACAATGTTTATAAGCAATTAATTCCTTTAATTCTGTTGTAAAACTCGATTGATAAAAGTCAAATATCTGAGCGACAAATTGACGTAAAGAGAATATAAAAAAATCAAATTGAAACTGAATGAACAAGCTATGCAGCTCATGTATTGATTTAATTAATAAAAATTTTCCCAAGTCCGTGAATGAAAAAAAAATATACAATTTCTTTTCTCGAGCGATTTATTAGGTTTACGTAATAACCGTAGCTCAAAAATTTTTTTGCGAAAAGATTTCAAGACTAGAAACTTGAAGCTTTTAAATGGATTTTTTTAAATCTAAATACGACAATTTTTCATTGAGGTAAAATCATCAAATTTAAGAATTTTTTTGTTCTCTAAATGTTTTGGAATAGTAAAAGGTTTTTGTAAAATGTTTTGTCTTTTTGAAGTTTTTGAGATAATAAGAAATCTTTTTTCAAGGAGTTTTTCATTAAAAAGCTCAATTTTGAATTAATTTGAAAAATGGAAAAACAAAATAGAATAACATAAATGATGAATTTGATCCATTTTCTTGAAGAGTAAAATAGAAAAATTGAAAATTTGAGACATCTTTGACATTAAAAGTGATTTTAAAGAATGCAACGTTACTAAAAAAGATTAGAATAAACACGAAATTCCAAATATTATTATGAGTTATTATCATTATTTTTTTACTTTAAGTACATTATTTTCATTTTTCAATGGGTGCATCCTCCCCGATGCACCCATGTAACAGAGTGAGAGGGGCGGTTCTCGCGTCGGGAATAATATATTCCGTTTGTATGACAAAAATTGCATTACATTTAGCGAATTTGCAAAATCTAATCTAGTTCTGTCCGAAAGTAGGGCACGAAATGAATTAAATAAATCAGCGGTGACGTTTCACTCCGACTCGCTGGCATTTGCGCTAAATAGTTTATAAAATATTTGAAGATAATGTGAGCAAATAAATTCGGAATACTGATGCAAATGATTTGATTATCGGAATTGTATCGGAATTTCAAGTACCATTTACGGTTCGCCTGCTCGCGATTCTTCTCTCGTTCCTCATGGAAGCTATTACTAGTCAGGTCTGCGGTGTCGCAAATATCAAGAAACTTGGAAATTATTTCATATCATTGTAATTGAGTTGGGAAAGTTTTGTGTTTTTTCAACGAGAGTAATGGAAATTCATAAGACGAGTCGAATAAATCCCGGCTTTTCATATGGTAATGTGCACCCAATCCTATTTCGTGTCTTTTAATATCTTCACACGTCATGTTACGTCACGAAACGTTCGGAGCCTCATGCAATAACAATATTGCCTATTTTTCATGTCACATTGCTAATATTTGTATATTAAACTAATACAATTTATGACAAAGTGTAATTGCATTTCGTGTTTAATTATGATTCGGAAATTGTTGTCAGAAATTAATTTAATATGTCCGA